CGATGACATGTCGTTCACAGAGCCTAAAAGAACACTTAGTGCACCACACAGAGAATTGAACCCACACAGTGAACATCAGCGACCGCACAACAACGATGAAACATTCCGCGGTCCACCAAGAAACATCCATCGTGTACCTCCTGGACCAAGTCAGCCCTGGAGAGCACATTCTGTTCCCCAACGATCCAACCCTACGAATGGTAATTCCCAGATGTATGGGAGATAGGACAGACAGGAGAGTGGTATCTCAGTGTGTTCCTGGAATGTGTGCAGGGGTCTAATAGGTAAACTTGAGGATCCGGAATTCCGGAATTTGTTAGTATCGTATGATATTGTATGCGTATCGGAATGTTGGATAAAAGAATTTGATGTTTTACAGCTTTCGGGTTACAGTCATTTTGCATTCCCAAGATCAGTATGTAGAGGAGGTGGTATAGTAATTTTTTACAAACCAGAACTGGCCGATCAAATTGAAGTGGTTGAAAATATCTACGACAGTATTGTCTGGCTTAAGATTAATAATACAGGTACCTGTAACTCCGGAGAACACACATTTATTGCATTTTGTTATATCCCTCCTGAGGGAAGTGTTTTTTATGATCACTGTAATGAAGATTTATTCCAAATTTTAGAAGATTCCGTTGGTAGATATAAAAGCATGGGTGATGTATATGTTATCGGTGATATGAATGCACGCACTGGAAGCAGGCATGATTATATAGAATTAGATACATTACATGATAGTTTAGTACATAATTTAGAAAATGTGGTTAATTATAATGTTGAAACTGTCAGCACTGAGCGTAAGAATATGGATAAGGGGGTAAACACTTTTGGCCGTAAGCTTATTGACTTGTGCAAGTCATCAGGTCTGCGTATAGTTAATGGGCGGCACCCAGATGACGATACTGGTACATATACATTTTTTAATAATAATGGTAAAAGTACGATTGATTACTTGTTGGTTGTAAATGCGACAATAGACAATATACTTAAGTTTGATTCTGGTAAATTTAACATGTTTTCTGATCACTGTCCAGTTGCGTTTCATATATGTATTGGCAAATTTTTAGATACTCAAATTGTAAATGAGTTGGCTGATTACAATGCCATGTACAGTAGAGGAACCTGTACGTCTGTGAAATGGAAAGGCGAGAATACTATGCTAATTTTAGATAAATTAAGTGAGAACTGTGAGTTAATTGATGAACAATTGAATGTTGATTTAAATAACCAAGATGCAGTTGATGAATGTGTGAATAATATAAGTAGAATATTAAATGATTGTACATTACCTTTTTGTGAGTGTAGAGATACCCCTCTGAGAAACTCCCGCGATCACCGCACTAAAACTGTTGTTATTGAAGATAAACCGTGGATAACTCCTCGGTGCAAAGATCTATATACTGAATACAGAAATTCGTTGATTAATTTTAACCGGGATAAATCAAATCAAAATTACAATATATTAATAACCGCCAAACGTAATTACAAAAGGTTGGTGTTTAAACTTAAAAGAGATTATAAACGATATGAAGGCGACATGCTGGTCCTTTTGAAAAGAAATGATCCAAGAAAATTTTACAGTATCTTTAATAATCGGAAGTCGAACAGAGCTATGAATACACTCACAATAGATGACTTCTATAGACACTTTAAATATCTGGCGCAAAAGGAGAATGATGGCGCTGACCAACATGTTCCTAATGTTAATATAGAGTCAGTTTATGAAGATCTTGATTCTAATATCACAACAAAAGAAATTGTTAAAGCCATTGAAAACCTGAAATCAAACAAAAGTTGTAGTGAAGACTTAATCATAAACGAAATTTTTATTCAAGGAAAGCATATTCTGGTGCCATATTTGGAACGGTTGTTTAATGCTATTTTTAGATCTGGGTTTTTCCCTGAATCTTGGTCACAAGCATGTATTGTTCCTGTTTTTAAGAAAGGCTGTATTAACGACACTAATAATTATCGTGGTATATCACTTGTAAGCTGTTTTGGTAAATTATTTACATCAATCTTGAATAATAGAATTATGACATGGGAAAAAGAAAATTGTATAATAACAGATGCTCAGTTTGGTTTTAGAAAAGGCAGTTCAACCATTGACGCCATATTTGTTTTACAAACATTAATTAACAAGAAATTGCGTAAAAAAGAGAGACTTTACTGTTGCTTTATAGATTTAAAAAAAGCATTTGATTTTGTTAATAGAGGAAAACTGTGGAGTAAATTAATACACCAAGGTATTCGTGGAAAATTTTTAAAAATATTATTATCTTTGTATGATAATGTCAAATCCTGTGTAAAATTTGAGGGTCAATTAAGTCATTGTTTCCCTAATTATACCGGTCTCTTACAAGGGGAAATATTGTCACCTGTGTTGTTTTCTTTGTATGTGAATGATTTTGAAATTAATTTTATTAATGATAATTGTCCAAGTATTGATTTACAGATGCTTAACCTTTTCCTGCTAATGTATGCTGATGATATGGTTTTTTTCGCTGATAGTCCAGCTGCATTGCAAAACATGTTAGATTCTTTACACAGTTACTCTAGAAAATGGGATCTGGAAGTCAACATTGATAAAACAAAAGTCATGGTTTTTAGAAACGGGGGAAACATAAGAAATAATGAAGTGTGGAAATATAATAATGAGAACATAGAAATTGTTGACTGTTTCAAATATTTGGGAATGTTTTTTAATTATAATGGTAAATTTTATAAAACCCAAAAGCATTTAGCGGACCAAGGAAGAAAGGCTTTATTTTCATTATCATCCTCTTTAAAGAACCATTGTTTGAATTTGGAAACCCAATGCTCTGTCTTTGATATTTATGTCAGCAGCATCTTAAGCTATGGTGCAGAAATATGGGGGTTTCACAAAGCTCCTGATATAGAGAGAGTTCATTTGAATTTCTGCAAAAAAGTCCTTAGAGTATGTAAATCTACATTCAATGATTTAGTTTATTGTGAATTGGGTAGACTACCATTAATTGTTACAAGAAAGCTAAAAGTATTCAAATATTGGTTGAAGTTGACGAAATCTGATAATTTGATATTAAAAACTTGTTATGATGAATGTGTCAACGTGAATGATCCGTGGATTTGTAACATTAAGAATGAATTAACTGCCCTAGGTCTTGGTTATATTTTTGAATCGAATCTACCATTGGTAAACACTTTTGAAATTATTGAACACAGATTGAAAGATGTTACTAAGCAAAATATGTTGGCAAAGATAGCAGCTTCATCAAAAGGTAGACTATATCAATATCTTATAGACAGTCATAGTATTCAGTTTTATCTCCGTAAACATATTGAAACAAAATACAAATATATGTTAACTAAATTTAGAACGTCGTCTCATCAACTGAATATCGAAAAGGGTAGACACAATAATATCATTCGCAGAAATAGAAACTGTAGCAAATGTGATTTGGGAGACGTCGAGGACGAATTTCATTTCATTTTTGTGTGTCCTTTTTATAATGATTTGAGGTTAAAGTATATAAAGAAGTATTATTATAAGAGTCCCTCTGTTTACAAACTTGTCCAACTTTTATCTGTAAATAATGTCAAAGAGTTGTCAAATCTAGGTAAATATTTATATCTAGCCACTAAGCGGCGAAATTGATTAATTAGCTACACGTATTTATAATTTTTGTGCTTTTGTATTATGTTCTTTGTTTAGTTTGCACTTGTATGCTTATAGTCACTCTCCTATAACATATATACATGTTCAATATATCATGATTACTTTGTACCTATAAGTCTTAAGACTTTTGGTGAATAAAGAACTTGAACTTGAACTTGAAGTACAGGTATAATTGGGCACTAGTACCGGTTGTTTGTTTGTTTTAGTAGATTAACGTCCGCTTCACTACGAGTGGTTCGGTTCCCGTAAAAGCGGCTGCATAGTTCGTTCGTTCGATCCACCGCTATCGGCCAGGTATCAGTTTATCGGTCGATAGCGGCGAAGTATCATTAAGCAGTTTATCGGCCGGGAGCGGCCGATAACCTCGCTCCGTTCGGGAAGCGGTTGTACTAGCAACGTTAGGCCCAATCGGTAACACCGGTCCTATCGGTAGGCTTGCGTTCGTACCAAGTTCGTCCTGCGGTCGTATACCGACTCGTCTCCGTTCGGGAAGCGTGCGTCCTGCGTTTGTGCCACAAAAAGTAGATACTTGGGCGTAATTCTAACTGTACTACATTTACTCCGGAAATGGTAGCACTGTCTTAACTACGGCAACGGTAACACTGCCTTTACTCCGACAAAGGTAGCACTGCCTTTACACCGGCAAAGGTAGCACTGCCCTGACTCCAGCAAAGGAAGTACAGCCTTTACTCTCCGGAAAAGATAGCACTGCCTTTACTCCGGCAAAGGTAGTGTAGTGTTCTTGTGTAATGATAACAAGCAAAGCGCGGGAGTCGCTCACAACATAACAAACGGGTGTCGCTTATGAGCTACACAATAATAGGTGTTATGTCAGTATAGTGATATACGTTACATCCCCCTTTCTTTAAATGATAGATAATGTAATATACGTACAAGTTGTGACTACACAAATCATTCCAGTCTCTTGGTTGTCCGAGTTGACATAACTTATTCAAATACTTTAATAGGGGTGTGCTTACTTATCTAGTTCACAATAAAGGTAAAGATAACTAAATGTTTTTTTTTATTTGTTCACAGTCTAAATCTAGGGTATTTGTCTAAGAGCCGGTATTTGATCGCATAAAACAATGAACACTATAAAGGTAAACACATTATACAGTAACTACCAACATACTTACTAGACAGAACTTGTGTTCTGTGAAATTGCACGGGGATTATTGTGCCCCAAACACAGTACATCTCTTAACTACAACTACAACTACAACATTGAACAAGTCTATTAATTAGAGGTCAAACATTTTGGGCGCAGTGACCACTCTTCCAGAACGTGTACCGGTAATTGTTTGATCTTTGCACGGTTCTGGACATTGTGCCGTTACTGGTTCATCACTAGTCTGTTCGTAATTTGTCTCCTCCGGTATGACGTCCGTAGTGGCGGGTCAGGTTCAATGTTTGCTGCGGTTTGGTTTGTCGAAGGGGTCGCCAACCACAGGTGCTTCCGGTTCCGACGATAGGTGCGATCGCCGCTGGCGACAACATAGGAACGAGGTTTGTTGTATCGCTTAACCACTGTTCCTGGTGTCCAGGTTTTGGGCGAGGAGTTGGGGTTGGGACTGATGCGGACACAGTCCCCAGCACTGAGGGGGGACAACTCCTTTGCTCCTCTACGGTTGTCGTAGTAAAACTTTTGTCTCTTCTTCTGCTGGTTGAAATGGGTCTGTATCCTTATGTTGTCGTGTGTGCTTGGTTTGAGTATGTCCTTGGACGCTGGTAAAGTGTTCCTTGGACGTCTTCCCATTAGGAGTTGGGACGGCGTCAAGTTGATCCCATCGAGTGGGGTTGTGCGGTTGTCTAGCAGGGCTAATTGCTTGTCTGCTGACTTTTTCCAAAGTATTTTGATTGTCTGTATAGCTCTCTCAGCCTCGCCGTAAGAGCTTTGGACGTGTGGGCTAGATGTCTCGTGCCCTATTCCCAGCTCAGAACAGAAACTCTTGAATTCTGCCGAACTTAACTGTGGACCATTATCTGAGCGTAGTTTGTTGGGTAGTCCATGGCAGCTGAAGATGGACTTTAGGACCTTGATCACGGACGACGTTGACTGAGTTCCAAGTTTCTGTACGTCAATGTACATCGAGTAATAATCTACAAGTAGAACGTAGTGTGCTGACTCGAACTCGAATAAGTCACAGCCTACCATACTGTATGGTAGCTCAGGCGTCAACGTAGGTTTGAGCGGTTCAGCCGCTTGCTAGTTCTGATACTCTGCGCATGTCTGACAATTTCCAACTAGGGTGTCAATGTCGACGTTCATGCCACGCCAGTACATCACCTCTCGTGCTCTCTGCTTGCGTGCACGAGTTTTAACATGTTCTCGCGTAGACTTTGTGGAATGACGATAGTAGTCATTTGTATACGATTCCGTCGAGTACTGAGAGTTGGTCCCTCGAGTCCCAGTAGGTTCTAGCTTCGAATGGCACTTCAGGCCTGGGCCACCCTTTAACAATGACGTCACGAAGTACGCTGAGCTCGGCTTGTGATGCTTTCTTTATTTCTGTGTATTTGTCAGTGCTGACAGACAGCATGTTGACCATGTCATTTGTATCTTCCTCCTCCTGCGGCTCGGGTCTTGGTAGAAATGCTCTTGAGAGCGTGTCCGAGACGTGCATTTCCTTGCCTTTTCTGTAACAGACCGTGATATCATACCATTATAGTCGTATCACCATTTTCTGAATTCTCATAGGTGCCGACAGGAGTGGTTTCTGGAATAGTTGTTCGAGCGGTTTGTGGTCGTTGTAAACTGTTGCATGTTTACCGAAGATAAAGCAATGAAAGCGTTCTGCGCTGTAGACTATCGATAACATTTCCTTTTCTATTTGCGCATAGCGCTTTTCAGTCTCTGTCAGCGAGCCCGACGCGTAGACTATCACTTTGTCGTTCTGCATCACGACTGCCCCTAGACCATCCTTGCTGGCGTCACACTCGATTTGGACGTCCTTATTGACATCAAAGTATGCGAGTACCGGAGAAGTACCACATAGTTGCTTGAGTTCTCGAAAACTTTTCTCTTTGGCAGGGTCCCAGGAGAACTCAACATCTGACTTCAGTAGGATTCTGAGCGGCGCGTCATTTTGACTGAGGTTGGGTATGAACTTCGCCAAGTATTGGACGAGCCCTAGCAATTTTCGGACTCCTACCTTGTCTGAAGGGATAGACATGTCTTTAATGGCCCTAACCTTCTCGGGGTCGGGTAACAAACTTTTCTCTGTGATTAAGTGTCCCATGTNAACGCTAACATGGCACTTTAATTCGCTGAATTGGATGATGTTATACCATACGAAGCATTTCATATACTAATATTTACCATATAATAACGTTTGTGCGAATCGAAGTCTGTTCACCATCGTGACTCTAACCGGAAATCAGACACTGGATTATAATACAATTTTAATTAGAATAGAGTACGGACAAGAATATCCGAAAGTTTATTTTTTATATCAGAATGTGAATCTTTACTTATTTGTTAATATATAATGTAAGACGAATACTGACACTTGATAGAATATTTTGAACAGTATATACATTATTTAAAGGCGATTCTAGACGTCCATGTACATTGTATGTATATTTATATATATGTTTATGTCATAACATTTTGAAAATATAATAAAAAATAAAATAAAAGAAGTGTCCCATGTAGGGAACACTCCGCTGACGTACTATGCACTTGTCAAAGTTCAGCTGAAGGTTGTGATTGGTTGCCCTTTCGATAACCTTGCGGAGAATGTTGTCGTGTTCCTCGAGCGTTGAGCCCGCAATGAGATTGTCATCAATGATGGCGAAGGCGCCATCTATACCCTCTATCATCTGATCCATGATGCGTTGGTATATTTCAGGAGCGGACTTGATGCCGAATGACAATCGGAGCCATCGATATCTGCATATGGGTGTGTTGAACGTTGTTAAGTACAAGGACCTTTTATCGATTTTGATTTGTAGAAATCCAGACTTGGTGTCGAGTACTGAGAATACTTTAGCCCCAGGGATGCCTAGTAGCAGTTCCCTTTATGGTTTACATAGGGAGGTGTTCCCGCTTTGTGGCCTTGTTTAAGTCCTTCCGGTCGATACAGATTCGACCTTTGTCCTTGCGTTATGATACAATCATTGAGCTTACCCGGTCTGTTGGTTCGTCCACTTTGGTTATATAGCCGTTTTCCTCCATTTCTCGCAATTTTTCGATCGCTTTGGGTTTTACAGCAGCTGGCAGTTTACATACTGCGTGTACCACCGCTGGTACCGATTCGTCGATGCTTATGCTGTGCTCCCCCGGTAGGGTGCCTGTAGTTTTGACCAGGTCAGGGAATTCGCGAAAAAGTTCATGGTCCATTTCCGATTCCTGCACGGGTATCTTGCTCGATACGACACTGATTCGCTGAATGAGTCCTAACGTTTCGGCCGCATCCCCATTAATAATGTTTTCCTGTTGTAGGTCAACGATTTCTAAATCGACAGAAGTCTGCTTGCCTTTGTAGGATACCTGGAGACCTTTGGTTCCAACCGGTGTGACGAGATGGTTCGTGTAGGACTTTAAGATTCGGTGCGATTTACGTACAGACGCGTTCTTACCACATATCGCTGCGAGTTGTGTTTTTGTCAATATACTGCACTTAGCGCCAGTGTCCATTCGCAATGCGACTTTATTTCCGTTTACTGTTAGGTTCATTATCCATTTGTCGGTGCGGACCGAATACATGTCTGTGTGTACGTCCTGAGTAACATGTATGGGCAGGAGTTCCTCATACGAGTCAACATCATATTGACCACCATCGTAATCATGCGTTTCAAGTTCCTCACTATATTCTTGGACCGAGTTGACCTTTCGAAGTCGTTTCCTACACACCTTCCCCCAGTGGTCAGGGATTTTGCAGTAGTAACATGTTGATTCTTTAGCAGGACATCTATCCTTAACGTGTGTTGTGCCACTGTTTTCACACTCTTTCTTGGCTGTGTGTGTGTATTTGTTGTAGCCTGACCGTTTGTCTGATCTATCACTGTGCATGTAGCTAGCCGCTTGTGATTGTTTTGCCATGAGATTTTCTGACAGGTTTGTACATTTGATTTGGTGTCCTGAAACTCAGTATTTCTTCACCACGAAGCATTTTCAAGTGTGTCTGTGAAAGTTCGTACTGACGTCCGATGTGTATTGCTTTATCTATATTTAGATCTTGACCCTGGTCAAGTAGTCTTTCTTGAACTTTTGGGTTGCGTACCCCATTGATGATTAGGTCGAATAATATATCATTCGCGTCAGTGTACTCGCAATCCATTATCAACAGTTTTAGGTCTTTCACAAAAGTATCAACACTCTCACATTGTTGCTGTTTGCGTGTCTGTGCTTTGAAGCGGCCGATCCGTTTGTTTTTCTGTGGTCTTATATATTCTTCCAGTTTGGACAGTATTTTGTCGGGTTTCTCTTTTTCCCCGGCCTGCCAATTGAGTGTTTTGAAGATTTCTTGGCCTTCTAAACCGATTCAAATGGTTATCCAGCCAGCGCGGGGTTTATCTTCCGTACCGGCGAGAGGGCCCTGACACGTAAACTCTACGTGTTGTTTGAAGCGCTGGAACTCTTGGTACACATCGCTAGCTCCCCAGTCTAGCTTAGGTTGCTCAAATGCAAAGTTTGTTGCCATATTGATGTGAATTCCAGACTTCTGACACCATGTAGTGTTCTTGTGTAATGATAACAAGCAAAGCCGTGTTATAAAATGGCGGACTGTTTAATCGAGACAAGCGCGGGAGTCGCTCACAACATAACAAACGGTTGTCGCTTATGCGCTACATAATGATAGGTGTAATGTTAGTATAGTGATATACGTTACAGGTAGCACTGCCTTGATTCCGGCAAAGGCAGCACAGCCTTTACTCGCCGGCAAAGGTAGCACTGTCTTTACTCCAGAAACGATACCACTGTCTTAACTACGGCAAAGGTAGCCCTGCCTTTACTCACCGTGAAAGGTAGCACTGCCTTTACTCCGAAAACGATAGCACTGCCTTTACTCTCCGTAAAACTTTTGCACTGCCTTTACTCGAGCAAAGGTAGCACTGCCTTTACTCCGGCAAAGGTAGCACTGTCTTTCCCCGGCAAAGGTAGCTCTGCCTTTACTCCGGCAAAGGTAGCACTGTCTTTCCCCGGCAAAGGTAGCTTTGTCTTTACTCCGGAAATGGTAGCACTGTCTTAACCACGACAAAGGTAACACTTCCTTTACTCCCCGTGAAAGGTAGCACTGTCTTTACTCCGCCAACGATAGCACGGCCTTTACTCTCCGTAAATAGGTAGCACTGCCATTACTCCGGCAAAGGTAGCACTGTCTATCCTCGGCAAAGGAAGCTTTGTCTTTACTCCGGAAATGGTAGCACTGTCTTAACTACGAAAAAGGTAACACTGCATTTACTCCCCGTGAAAGGTAGCACTGCCTTTACTCTCCGTGAAAGATAGTAATGTCTTTACTCCGGCGAAGGTAGTACTACCTTTACTCCGGCGAAGGTAGCACTGTCTTTACTCGGGCAAAGGTAGCACTGCCTTTATCCGGCAAAGGTAGCACTGCCTTGATTCCGGCAAAGGCAGCACAGCCTTTACTCGCCGGCAAAGGTAGCACTGTCTTTACTTTAGAAATATAAGCACTGTCTTAACTACGGCAAAGGTAGCCTTGCCTTTACTCACCGTGAAAGGTAGCACTGCCTTTACTCCGCCAACGATAGCACTGCCTTTACTCTCCGTACACCGGCAAATGTAGCACTGTCTTTCCCCGGCAAAGGTAGTTTGTCTTTACTCAGGAAATGGTAGCACTATCTTAACTACGACAAAGGTAGCACTGCCTTTACCCCGACAATGGTTGCAATGCCTTTACTCCGGCAAAGGTAGCACTGCCTTTACACCGGCAAATGTAGCACTGCCTTGACTCCGGCAAAGGTAGCACAGCCTTAACTCTCCCTATAAGATAGCAATGTCTTTACTCCGTGAAAGGTTACACTGCCTTTACTCCGGCAAAGGTAACACTGTGATTAATAAATGTCTTGTTATCTAATATGAAATTGAAGGACTTGGCAGGGTTTATCTGTCGTAGGAACACAAACAGAGGTTGTGGCGCAGTTTGTTCCGATAGGAATGCCCACAGCCTGCTGGAAAACCTTGTCGCTGAA